GCCCAGAGCCCTCGAGGCAGAGACTCCCAAGGAGTCTCACGCCCAGCGCGACAAAGGCCACGCTCAGCGCAGCACATCAATATCATCATTCAGCTCAATAATCATTCATCACTAACAGCTTAAAACAACATGATCAACACCTAATGCGACCCAACCATCTTGTTTACAACTCATCTATCTTGTCAAATTACTCACTCAAACAACAAGAGTACACCTAAGCACCTAAAACAACTTTCAACTTAACCAAATCACTAAATGTGAAATGGCAACTATCACAGCAAATAGCGCATCAGGAGTTATACTACTCCTACCATGCTCATCCTTATCTCATATGAAAGATAATCAAATTTCCTACAACTCTCCTGAAGACACCAAGTCTTAATTCCTTCATCTACCATGTTAAAAATGATAAAAACGCAACAGCTATAAACAAAGCTAGCAGCTCGACCCCTCTTCACTAAAACAACCATATCTAGAGTTCTAAAACTCCTTTTTGAGTGATTCCAGCGCCATTGGAAAGCTAACATCCAAGGCTACAACTTTCATGAAGAATATAAAGTCAAATTCTGAAAATCAAATGCTCGCCCGGCGCGTTAAAAATAGAGCCCGGCGCAATTCCCAACCAGAGACCTACAGATGTCTATTGCGCCCAGCGTGGTTCTACCCGCGCCCGGCGCGATTCACCCAGAGATTCCCCTTTTCAATTCGAGCCCGGCGCGAAGAACTGCGCCCGACAAAAATTCAAACAAGAACCCTTACCTACTTCGAAAATCTCATGAAAACCTGCGAAAAACACCAGGAATCCAACATGCAAACCATCCAAAAGCTTCCATTCTCATCAAATATCAATAAAAATGCCTCATTTCCAACATGCAAACACAATTCATTAAAAACCCCAAAATTTCTTCAAACCCCGAAATTCCCTAAAAACCCCTTTTTCACCAAATCAGCCAAGAACCATCAATCATCAGCAATCACAATGAGTTCCTAGACTCATTTCAGCCAAAAACGCAGTAAAACTAACTTCCCTTACCTCGGTGAGACGATTCCGAGCTCCGGGAAGAGAAGGGAGAAGAAGAAGCTTGAAGAGGAGCTCCGCACGGTTCAGCTAGCAATCCAACACCATTACTCAGCTCCTAAGATCACCACTGCCACCCAAGATCAGAGGAAAAAGGAAACAGGGAAAAGAGAGAGTAAATGAGAATTGAGAGAAAGTGAGTTGAGAGGGAGAAAATGAGAAGAGTGAAGTGAGTAGGGAGAAAGAATATATGAACGGGGTCTTACAAAAAATATATTTTTTTAAAATTTTAAAATATTACTTTTATAGATGAATGTCAAATCTATTCATCAAAATTTATTAATGAATAGATTAGATGAATTTTTTTTATGTGAATGTGTAATAAATGTAAATAGATTAATAAATTATTTTTATTCAATTTATTAGAATGCGTCTAAAAAATTATTCAATTTATTCATGTGTCATCTTTGTAACGATCCACCATCATCACACTACGGAATAACACAATACATTACTGAAATATATACTAAAATATTATAGTGAGAATATTTATAACACAAGTTGCTAAGCAATCAACAAAAAAAATCCAACTATAAACAACAAAACATGCTACCACAAGGTAGCCTACAAAAGAAACATTCACTTCAGGTATCTCCTGTTGCCTCTAGCATTTATCTCCCAGCTATCCCTGCCCTGCTCACATACATTATATGATCGTCGCAGTCCAAACCACATGAAAACATGCAAGGGTAAGTTAGAGAAAATAAAGAACTCGTAATAATTAAATATGCAACACAACAACTATATAATCGTCTTCACATCCAACATAAGTAACAAACAATACATATACCACACATCTCAACATCATTTCAACTTAATTCCAACATATTAAGCGATGATCAACACATTATCAACACATCAACACATATGTTTAAAGCATGAACACAGACCATTATACAACTCATCATAATAGTCACCATATTCAACACAACAATAAACAACACATGTATTACATACATCTCAACAACACATATTTAAAAGTAACTTACAACACAGGTAATCTAGCAACGCTATCATCATCATCATACTTGTTCAACATACAACATATAATACTAAAATAACATATGAATATAAAAGTAACATGCAACACAAAGTCACTACCAACAATAACAACTTATTCATCAAGTGACACACAACACATAGACAACATACATCTCAACATCACCTTCACAACACACTAACACATACAACTCATATCATCACAATTTCAACTCATCAACACGTGCAACTCATATCATCACAATATCAACTGATCAACACATGCGTCGTCACGCATTTCAACTCAAAGATCTCTTACAATACAAGGTGAGCAGTCTAAGTGGCTAGGTCTTACCAAACCAACAACACAAAACCTTTTTGGGCTTGCTAGGTAAACAACAAATTTGGATAAAAATCCATAACACAATAATGATTTCTCAGACTTTGTCACTTAAACAATGAAGTATAGTACTATGTCAGGATAAGACAACTGGATTTAGGCCTACCACAATATTAGCTAGTTCAACTAAGCCACCTATGGGATTAGGGTTCTGACTATCCTTCAGATACTACAACCCTCTGATACTTGGTTAGGAACTAAGTTTTCAACTTTGTACTTTACTCTAATAGACCACTTGTAACTGTACCATGGTCGTTTCATACACGTGTGCCTCGACCTTGCGCACACACGGGACTAACTAAGTCATAGAGGAGAAAAACACATCATCCACTCTAACGGACAACTTTCCAATGAGGGTTTTCAACAAATTGGGCTATTAGAGCACCACAAATATCTCAATCCGCACAATGGGATGAGTAACTTCGAAAACATCTCTCTTAGTCCTAATGATCAACAACTTATCATCACAGCACAACAACACAGTTATCATCTCATCGACTTAACTATCAACTCATTTCAACTTTAAACAACACAGTTATCATCTCATCAACTCAACTATTAACTCATTTCAACTTTAAACAACACGGTCAACTTAATAACTCAATAGCTCAACTCATAATTTACAGCTCAACCATCACGAAGTAATATCTTTTCAACACATAGTATAACGTACAACTCTATAACAACATACAACTCTCATCTAACAACTTAGGAACACAGTCTACTAATAACTTTTGTATCATATTAACACATCAACACACTCCACATCATGCTTCTCACAACTCACAAAATTATCATCATTTACTTCACAAATCTCAACTACATCATCTCATCATATTTCACAACATATAAATAGTAAACACACAACTTGTAAACAACTTCAACAACATACCACATATTCAACACATTTTTATTTTGCACTCTCTCAACACATAACTTTTCAACTCATTTAGCACCTCTACACAACTACACAACTTCACAACTTAACTACAACATGCATCTCACATCTCACTACTAAGTATCCTCATCATGTTACACAACATCATCTTTCAACACAAAATACATAAACCCATGCTATGCAATCATCTCTAACCACTTACAACATTCACAACACATAATAGCTACTCATACATGTCGTTTACATCCCATCTTCATCACAAAATCATCACTAACGTCTAACAACATCATTAGTCAATATTTTATCATTCTATATCACCACACAACATTTTTATCACGTAATACAACTCATACTACATATTTACAACTCATTTATCATGCTAACTTACAGACATAAATAACATAAATTAACCTAAGTACCTAAAACAACTTTCAACTTAACCAAATCACTTATTGTGAAATGACAGCCTTCACATAAACCAACATATATGAAGTTATAATACTCCTATCATTCTCATCCTTATCTCATATGAAAGATAAAAAGATTTCCTACAACTCTCTTGAAGACACCAAGTCCTAATTCCATCATCAACCTTGTTAAAAATTATAAAAACCGCAACACTTAGCTTAAATCCTGACAACACCGCAACACTTAGCTTAAATCCTGACAACTTGACTTTTGCTCACTAAAAAGGTCATAACTGGAGTTCTAGACCTCATTTTTGGGTAATTCTAGCATAACATCCAAGGCTACAACTTTCATGAAGACCTCAAGACCAAATTCGGTCATCTACCATCACCGTTGCAACGCTTAAATAAGCATTTTAGCGCTGAATTTCTGTCAATTCAGTTTTCTTTCCACGATCATGGCTGTAGGTTTCTGCCACCACATTTTTCCCCACGGCCATGACTGTGAACCACGATCATGGCTGTAGGTTTCTACCTCCACATTTTTTCCCACGGCTATGGCTGTGAACCACGACCATGGCTACAAGTCTCAAATTTTTTTGAAATTCCTTGGATTTCACCTTTGATCCTCTCTTTCTATTTACCAATCTTCCCCTTAAACATGATCTATACTCATGATTACTACTACACTCGTTCAAACAACCCAGAAACCACGAAAATTTTGACATGCATGCATCCAAACTCCATGATCACCCATTTTTACCCAACTCATTCAAGAAAACCACAACTCCAATAACATGCAACCCACCCAACTCAACTATTTAGCCCCTAAATCACAACCCAGATGATGATCCAACTACATGCAACCCAAAATGTACAACAAATTCTAGTTCTAACTTCCCTTATTTCGAAACGAAGTGAACGACGAACTCCGAACTACTCTAAGATTAAAAAAGAAGAAGAAGAAATGAAGATGCTTCAAGAGGAAGACTCCAATAACCTTGTTACTTTCCTTACTTCTCATCAGCTCAAACTCTTAGATCAACCACCAAAATCATAACTCGGCCAAGAAAGGAAATGAAAAAGAAAAAGAAAAATAAGAGAAGGGGGAGGGGGAGAGAAAGGGTTACGGGTCTCACAATCTTAATATTGAGATAGCATATATATTATGTTGAATATAATTTTTATGTATAAAAAAATTTAAATAATAAATAAATATTGTAACAGATATTCTCTACCGATTGATCTATCTATCTGCATAATTCAGTACCGGAGCCTAAAGATATGTATTGTATACACGAGAGCAATGAATAAAGTATAAGTAAATGAAAAAAATATTTATATAGTACTCCGCCGATCCGAAACTATAAATCCGGCGTGGAAGAGAGTGAGAAATTGGAAGATCAGAGCAAAACCCTAAAATGGAGACGCACGGTGGAGGACCCCTTCGCTCCCGCAGTTCCCAGTCACCTTCTCCTTCCCACTCCGCCACCTCATCCATCCACAAGCGCACGCTCGCGTCGGAGGACCACGCGCCTCCCTTCCCTCCCTCTTCCTTCTCCGCCGACACTCGCGACGGCGCCCTCACCTCCAATGACGACCTCGAGAGCATCTCCGCCCGCGGCGCCGACTCCGACGACGACGACGACTCCGAGGATGCCGTTGTCGACGACGACGAGGACGACTACGACAACGAATCCTCCATGCGCACCTTCACTGCTTCTAGACTCAGCAACCCTCCCTCCGCTCCCCGCAACACTAAGCTCAAGTCCGATAACTCCGCCGTCAAAATTGAGAATTCCGACGCCACCAAGGACGCCGGAACTACCACTGCGGGTTCCGTCCCCGGGATTGTGATCAAGGAGGACGCCACTAAGATTTTTACTGACAATATGCAAGCAAGTGGGGCTTACGCCGCCAGGGAAGAGAGTCTCAAGAAGGAGGTAAACACTTTGCTTTCGTGGAAAAAAATATCGCTGATTATTTGTATGTTATGCTTTAGAATTGTTCTCAGACTCGATGATTATTTACTTGCTTCTCAGTGACTATAATTATTTGGTTCAATGTAAATGATGGTTTCGTATTCGGGGGCTTTCACATTTAGGTTATGTTTGCATTGGTGGTAGAAAATGGAATGTCACTCTATTGTTCGAATATTTTATAACAGAACGGACTCAGTAGTAACTTTTAATTCCCATATTATGTTTATTTATAAATATATTATCCTTAAGATGCTAATGATTAAGATGAAATTTACAAACATAAAAGAGTCATTTTATAATCTAAAAGCTTTCTATCATTACGAATGATTCCTATTTTTACAAATCAAACAATGGATGTGACTTAGATGATACATTGTTACGATCTGTTTTTAAGATGATAGATGCTCAGGGATGTGACTGTGTTGATCTTATTTTAGGAGGAAGCTGGGAGGCTCAAATTTGTATGCATTTCGAACGATGGTGTTGATGATCATATGATTTGGTATGTGTTTCTCCTTTCTCTTTAACATTTATGTTGTCCTGCCTGTGTCGCTGATCTCCAATGGGGGTTTGCTTATGGAGTTCTTAAATTTAAGGAACAATTCTTATGCAGTTTCACTATTGGAGCATTTGTCATGACAGTTTTTATATAAGAACAATCGCTTATATAAGTTAGTCTCTGTTTCTATAGAATTTATGTTTTTTTATGTTTCCCCTCTTACTACCCACTCCTGTTGCATCTATCCCTGCAGATGAGTCATACTTTATCATAGGAACTGCCTAAATGAGATTTTATTCGCATTGGCAATTTTCTTTTTTATGTTCAAATTGGCAAGATGATTATTAATAATAACAAGCTCCATACTTGCTTTTGTTATTTGTTCCTTAGGCTGATTGGATTGAAGAATATATTTGCTAGACAACTTCCCAATATGCCCAAAGAATACATTGTCAGACTTCTTTTTGATAGGTAACATTAACAATTTGTTGTATTCTAGATTTTTTTTTTTCCTGAACAAGTTCTTTTGAACTGTTTTTCTACGTTATACTTGAGTTTTCTCTCTCTTTTTAACATCACAAATCCTTTTTATGTTAAATTTGTAGGAGCCACAAGTCTGTAATGGTTATAAGGCGTAATCATGTTGTTGGAGGCATTACATATCGTCCATATGCTAGGTATTAATTTGTATTCATATCCTTTTCCTCATGATTCAGAAGTCTCTGTTTTTTTGTCTTGGAAATGTTATATATTATGTCATTATTTCATTATTGTTAATGTATTAATATCTGATAACTGAAATCTTACGATAGGTATTATCAAAGATTAACTAATTTATAGGGGAACTGTTGTCTGTTTTTATTGTTTTTACATTGTTTATTATAAATTGCCACAGTGACTGCATAAGGTAAAAATGCTTCTCAAAGTCGATGTAAGCGAATAATCTGGGATATTTAGCCTGATTAATATTTTTATTGAAAAACCATAATTGTGAATAGATATTATATTTCCTTGTTTTGCCTTGTTATTTTTTCTTTCCTGCTTGTATATGATATCTTCTTCCTCCTGCTCCCTTTCCAAAGCTTTACTCGCTAGATTAATGTACGGTTTTATCTTTTAATACTGTTTTCCATTATGATTGATAGTCAGAAGTTCGGTGAGATAGCCTTTTGTGCAATTACAGCTGATGAGCAAGTCAAGGGTTATGGTACCAGATTGATGAATTACTTAAAGCAGTTTGCACGTGATTTAGATGGGTTGACACATTTTCTCACATATGCTGACAATAATGCTGTTGGCTATTTTATCAAACAGGTTTGATTATTTATATTTAAGTTCCTTATCATCTGGATAGTTGGTTCTTTTACGTAATAAGTCAGAGTCCTGTAGCAAAAGTCTGAGAGATGTTACTTTCTGAAAACAAATTTATTTGGTTTTAAAATAACTCTTCTAGTAATTTTTAGTGCATTTTTTTCCAACTTATTGCAAAAAAATACATTTTTCAAATAATTTACCTACTCGGCCACATGGATTATGCCTATCTGTTCCATTAATTAGATTTTGTTTTGGATACTGGAATGATGCTCAGTTCGATTTTCAGGGTTTTACAAAAGAGATTCACCTGGATAAAGATCGATGGCAAGGGTATGAATGTACTTGATAATCTAGGCTGAAATTTATTTCAAGGATTTTTATTTATATCTTTTAATACTCAATTGAATAATAATTATATCATTCACTATTTATTTGTGTATGTTGTATATAATCTTTGAGGATTCATTTTAAATAATTGTCCTTTCAGGTATATAAAGGATTATGATGGAGGAATTCTCATGGAATGCAAGATAGATCCAAAGCTCCCTTACACTGATTTGTCAACTATGATCCGTCGTCAAAGACAGGTTTAATAATTCCTATTTTTTAGTTATTTTTTTACATTATTTGAGATATTCTCAAGATTAACACATGATAAGATGTATTAATTTAAGTTTGTATTAGAACATATAGTATATTTATTTCAGTTAAAGCAAACTTGTGTTAACCTATTTCACTTAATTTGAGTTTTTCGTCCTTTGTTATATGCTTTTATCTAACCACCTATGCACAGCCACTGCTAAAGGGTGTGTAGGGGTTGTGAAAAACTTTGCCTCTAAGAACTATAGTAGAATAGTAATAATATTTGTTTTGCTTTTGCATGCATTATCTTCATTTCTATCTGCTGTTTAGGCATCTCTCTGCTTATTTTGCTTTTCGTCATTCATTTTTCGCATATTTTTGCCATGTCATGACTTGTTAAGTCATATTATTGTAGGCAATTGATGAAAAAATCAGGGAGCTGTCAAACTGTCACATCGTTTATCCTGGAATTGATTTTCAGAAGGTACAAGGCACTGTCAAATTTGAGAGTTTACATCATTGATCATTCATGTATAGAATTTAGAATTTTTTACCTATATAAAGTGAATTTTGTTAAATTTGGTCAACTCAATGCAGATTGCATTTTAAGTATTTGACATATTTGCACAATTAAACTGCATTTACCACATGCATGTTCGCTATTACTTAAAATCGTGTGGGGCTAAAGGTAGAGGATCATCTATTATTTTGGTGATTGTTACATTTTACTATTTATTTCATATATTAGTAAAATCGTTGAGCGTGTTGAATATTAACTTTTTCCCCTCCTGATCAACACAAAATGCAGAATGAAGCTGGTATTCCTAAAAAAATTATTCTTGACATCCCTGGTTTGAGTAAGTACTTAATTTCTAATGAGTTCAATAATTTTGCAATATTTTCTTTTTGGTTCTTTTGGGATAAATTATGCATCACCTGTCTTTGAAGATAGTGTGCTTTGTGTAAAAATATTTTTCATATCTTATTTCGGTTTGCTAACACTTCCTGATATATGGCAAGGTTTCAACCTTCTGTCCAAAACCTTATGCATTGTGCCTAACCTTTTTGCCCTTTAATGTCAATGGCATGTCACTATTTATGTTTTTCATTGTCTCATAAATTTGTGATAGCTTCAATTGTTATTGTTTTAGATTTTGCATATCTAGATCAGTTTTCCTGTGATCTTATGATCTAGGAAACCTGTGCTAGGTATTTCCTAATTCTGGCAGTAAGGATGGGGAGAAGTTCCCCTTCCTCTCTCATTCCCTCCTTAAAATTCTTCCAAACAAGGGTTAGGTATTTTTTCATATCTCGTTCTCCCTGTGTCCCACTCCTTACCTTCCATCCAAACATGGCATATGATATGTATAGAAATAGTTCTAGGTGCTACCAGAACACGAAGAGTCTGAATTTCTTATTAATGAGAGGGAGAAAAATACAGAGAGTTTACAAGTTTTTTTCCGTAGAGAATTCTAACAACAACTTCCTATTTATAGTATTCTAACAGTTGAAACTAACTTCTAAATTGACAACTTAACAGACCCTCAATTAACTACAGCTGTTAGCATCTTATTTAATTATTTCATAACAGCATATTAGATTTATCAACAGGGATGTTGTGAAAAAAAATGATCAATTTTGTTCTAATGAGTGAGATGATTTATTTTCGCTTACTTTGATAATTTGCTGGTTAATGTTTGTGTTGAATCACTGAATGCAACCACAGGGGAGGCTGGATGGACTCCTGATCAGTGGGGTCATTCACGATTCAGAAGTTTATGTAGTTCTGCCGACAATGCTACAAATCAAAAACATTTGTCTGTGTTTATGCGTTCACTTCTAAAGGCAAGTTGCTTAGATGATCTTCACATTTGCTTTAATTTCCGTTCATTCATTTAACTCGGCATAATTTCAACTGGAAACACTGCAAACTCCACACATTGATCATTTGATTCTTATTCTTGGCAAAATCAAAATATGCATGTGGGCAGAATAATTACAAGGTTGAGAAATTAATTCTTACTGTCGGATTTATCTTTTTTATGCAGGCACTGCACGATCACGCTGATTCTTGGCCATTCAAGGAACCAGTTGATGCACGGGATGTTCCTGATTATTATGACATCATCAAAGATCCAATCGGTGAGAATGATTTGTATGTTTCATGTTAAATTCACCTATATATATATTTATTATTATTATTTCATCCATATGACCAACAGCTTGAATCCAAACCTAGATTTTTATATATAACAATGAAAAGTCTTATTGTCTAATGTCTATAATATGTTTATAATGTGAGCGCAGATTTGAAGACGATGTCTAAGAGGGTGGAATCAGAGCAATATTACGTCACATTTGAGATGTTTCTTGCGGATGTCAGAAGAATGATTTCGAATGCACGCACTTATAATTCTCCAGATACCATTTATTTCAAATGTGCTACAAGGCATGTGCTCGTGCTTCCACCTCTCTGGTTTACCTGTGATGTTTTCTTACATCCATTGATTTTTGTGCAGGTTAGACAACTTCTTTCAAAGCAAAGTGCAAGCAGGTCTTCAGTCTCAGTCTGGTTCTAAAATTCCGTAGGGGCACTTAAAAATATACACAAATGTTATTTATTTGTATAGTTAATTTTTTTTCCCATGGTTGTGACAAACTAATGTATTATCTTATAGTAGTTGTTAATTTAGCCAATGCTATTTAGTGTAGCTGCAGCAATGACATTGCGTTACCCTGTTAATGTTGTGCTTGGGCGAACCGTTATCGTGGGATAAAACTAGGTGATAAGCCGGTGGTTGGTTTTGTCGCAGTAGTTGCATTTTCTCATTTTTCTTCGTTGGAATTTTGTTTCAACAGAAAATTTAATCCTTGTCCCTGTTCCGAATGTTCTTCTGTAACCTGATACTTGTTAGATGATAATTGTCAAATATGTATACATATTTTATTTAATTTAGATAATTATTAATATATTCTATGTTTATAAATCTTTTTTTTTTTTTAATCACAAAATCCTTAGTCAATAAGTAATTTCAATTTTAGGGTTTAATTGTTTAAATATTAGATATTTTTGTTTTTCTTTGTTGAAATATAAGATGGGGAAATAATTTGAAGTTACAAATCTCAAAGGGGGTTATAGTTTTGAGTTACATAGAAGACCACTTTGAACTAAAAAAATCATTGCTTGAAATTAGCAAAGTCGGAGAACAGCCGTAGTTGATCACCCTAGTTCGCTTAGAGTGAGTTACTTGGGCGACATCCTTAGTTGATCATATCAGTTTGCTTAGAGTGGCTTACTTAAGTGTTTTAAGTGAATGGGCACTCTAAGTGAATGAACGAAATTTATTCAAAATTATCACAAAAACGCTCTAAGTGAGCTAGAACAAATAAAATTGAACGAAATTTGTCCACATTGGACATTTATTTCAGTAACTAAGAAATTAAAACTATATCATAAACATAAAATAAAATTGAACGACATATTCTTATTCATTCCAAAATCAGTAAGTTCGAGTTCTAATAGCTTATTTTCAAGGAAGTGCCGCCTTTAATGAGCGGGTAAAATCTTCGAGTTCTTTCAACCCCTCTTGAGGAGATTTGGCTTCACCAAGCAACTTCACCATAGCACTGCCAACAATCACACCATCAGCTCCCCATCCTGCTACCTGTAACAACGTATTATGATTTGGATTTGATTGATTATTAACCAAATTCAGGTAGAAGCATACTAGCATCATATACATATGGACTGGGAACTAACCTGTTTCACATGCTCAGGTTTGGATATTCCAAAGCCAACTGCCACAGGTTTAGTTGTTGCCTGAATAACAATAAATAAAGACACTCAACAGCAAGTATAAATATTGAGATTAACCAAATGCAATGGGTTTATCATAAAGAGAATAGAAGTGGGAGGCCCAGAGTGGGGGCTAAAATAGGAAGGAAAGAGAATAGAACTTTTCAGAAGACACCCACATCATACAACTAGAGTGGAGACCAAGATTAAAAAAGACAAACCTCTTTAATTTCCCGCAGAAGAGACTCAACAGAAGCACTAACTGATGCTCGGGCACCAGTGACCCCCACTGAGCTCACCTATAAATAATTTAAATTAACAAATGGTTAATGACATTTGTTAGCATATGTTGGCCTGAGACAGTTACGCAAGACATTTTCTGTTTTCACTGTCATTGTATATTTGTATCCTATTTCCAAAGAAGTTGGGATGAAGGTGACTTCTTGTCATTGTCAACTTTCAAACCCAATTTGACATGTGAACTAAATAAATTGTGTAAAAAATATGCGTTCTGCAAGCTCTAGTCTCAAAATATATCAAAATCAAATGTTCGGAAACTTCAACATGCAATAATATGACCAAACTTGAACAACTTAAAAAATAATTATAAAAAACAAACCTAAAATATAAGAAAACACTAAAAATTCACAAAATAAGGTAAAAAATAATCATCATCAATTTCTATAACTGGCTAACTACCTGAAAAAAAAAGTCCTAATCCAGCCTAGTGAATACTTCAAAAAGCAACCTTCATATTTCAAAATAAGAGTCAAAATCATCCTAAAAGATTTTGCCGGGTTTTACCTTTTGACCATTACTTTTGATAATTCATATACTGATTTCAAGAAAACAGTTAAGATTAAACCACACAAATAGAAGAGACAAATACTGTCACAAGCAACTGTACCAACTCAAAACAAACAATAGTTTAGTCTCCTTGGAGTGCAAAGAGAAAGGGCTAAAGAGGAAGTTAATAAAACAAAGATGCAAATTAAAGCCAATGGCATTTTGGATTCTACACTGGTATCTTTGGAGATGAGCCAACAATAACGGGTCCAGAGTTCTTGCAAAGTGCCTAATGCATGACAAGAAAGGAAAATCTAAAATTTATTCTGATTTCATCAGGTTAAACGCAGAAGCAAATACACTTTTCTAATGTCAGGATAGCAGCCAGTTGGTAAATAGCTAACTTCTAAGTTCTAATCCACAAAGTACAATAATAAACCGTTTGGAAAAAATGAAACACAAATAAGCAGATAATGGATTTAATTTATGTTACTGGAAATAGTGAGAAAGAAAATATAAAGAAAATCACAGACATACTCTAAATCAAGACCTTAGCACGTCAAAGTCAATGGAGTTATATGAAAACTATGAAGAGGAGCCCCAAAACAGAAGTTATTAAGGTTGAAAAAAGCTCTTACAAGATACACAAATCCTTCTGCTGCATCAACGATGGCTTTCATTCGGTCTGTTGGAGTTGTTGGTGTTGTGAGGAGTACCTTAATGATATCAAAATAGCAAATATACCAAATCAACTAGATATATACATGTACACAGATTAATTTACCCAAACAAAATTAAACATAAAACAGAGAAAATGTTAACCAGTATATACTAACAAATTTATGTGATATTGCAAAAGTATAAGCAATAGAACAGATTCATGTTAGTCATAACAAAACTCCATGGCTCCACAGTCACCACCATGCCTCCTTTGTTGCACTTAACTTGTGGATTTCATATTTATAAATTTTTATTGTAAAAACGGTTTACTACTAGTTTTCTATCATTATGAACAGTATAAGGATATTCAATTGAAATCCAGAACTAAAGCAAGAGATCATTTTAAAGGTAACCATACCAGTTCAATTCCATGTTTCTTAGCTTCTGTCCTTAAAGTTTCTGTCTCCTCCAGAGGGACATCTGGGACTACAAGCCCTGCATACATATGGAAAAGAAAATAATATTATCCACATTACCACACTACAGGAAAAAGGGACAAAATACAAACAAGATCTTATTTCATAATTTTCCATGTCAATGAAGCTGATATAGGAGCTTTAACCAGGACTAGGCAGGAGAGCAAAGAGACATTTTCTTTTATAATGATAAAGATTTAAACTAGCAAACCCACAAAATCTAACTTCAAATATAATACACAGTGCAAGTATTTGGAACTGCGTCAGTGCTTCCTTATCATGTCCATGCATTTTACAACACTGCTTTATCATAGAACTAGTTTAGAAAATAGACCCTAGGCAGTATGGCACAACATAATACTAAGCTATTAGGAAATACATTAATGAAGTTGAGTCTTACCATGTACGCCACTGTCTCTTATGGTGGCCATAAATCTCTCAGTACCACGCTTCAGTATTGGATTGTAATATGTAAACAGTGCAATTGGACATGACAATTGTGGAACAACCTGCCAAATCAACCATTGCAAAGGATCATCAGTCCACAGAGCTCAAGAGAAGATACACTTGACAAAGCAACAAGAAAAGGTTTTAGAACTACCCTTCCATATTAATAGGAATAATTGTTTTAACTAGGTAACAATGGACAGAAAAGATATCCCTCCAAAGGTTCACATTGATGGAATGCCTCATACTTTCATGAATTTAAATAAGATGAATAGAATGAAATGAAAAGTTGCAAGCAAGACAACAGGAAGTATAATATAAAAAATGTTTGCAGCTCATTATGAGAAACAGCACCAGATGTTAACTATCTATCTATCATCTTATACAAAAAAAAAAATTATTTATACCAGTTTGAGACATAAGTGCATTGCTAATTAGAAAAGTAAAATTCAATCAAGTTAGTTTTTCCTAACAAATTCCAATAGCAAGTTAACGTTAAGAGCTTAAAGACCTTAGGGTCTTACAGCATCTCCTTTCCCTTTAAGCATGTAGATTACCGTTGGTCAATTGATTGATTTAGTACCCGAAATAATGTGTATTTAATAGCTATAATTTAGCTGTACTTGAATATGCGTATCATATCTCCTAGACTTATGGATATTCTTTCCTGATTTTCTGTTATCTCCAGTATCTATATATTGATGTACCATAGAGCATTGCTTAAGTCAATTGAATCAGTACAGGTTATTCAAGTAAAAACAGGGGTAGAGGATGGAAAGGCATTACTCATTCAAATTTCATAACAAATAGCAACTTTGGATATTTGCACAGCTAACTGGTCAACTGAAGAAATGAAAATTAATCACTGCAGTAGAGCTCATTACTCATTAGCTTTTGACAGTTATCATTAATAAATGACAAGGAGTTGCGCAAATTCACCTCTTTCAACATAGAAAGAATTGCATTAAGATTGGTCCCCTTTGCTAATGACCTTGTAGCAGCAGCCTGGGAAGAAAAATGCATCAGTGAGAATCAGGCGGTACTAGATATCACAAGAAAAAGAAGAAAGCACCAAACCTGGATAACAGGACCATCTGCCAAAGGATCAGAGTATGGAACACCTAGCTCAATTATGTCAGACCCACATGAATCAAGCACTTTCAGCGCTTCTGCTGTGGTTGAAAGGTCAGGATCACCAGCTGTGATATATGGGATGAAAGCCACCTTAACACAAATATACTTCTTAGAAACTAATCATTTGGAAGTCAAGAATACTACTCTGACTCACATCTCTTAGCAATAAAGTTGATATGGTACAAAAAAAACCAACCAACCCGTATACAAAGATAATTACCAATCCACTATAATCAGGCAGAGAAAGGTCATTGATTTAAAAGAGCATAGAGAATGGAATCAGAAAATTAGATTAATCACATCTAAAAAAAACAAGTAGGCATCAGCAAAACAGTGCTATTCAAGTTGAAATGTGACACAATGGAAAACAAGGCAAGCATGGAACCAGACAACTAGAAAAATAAGCACTTACTTTCCCGTCTTTCTTCAGTCTGTTGAATGTTTCAGAGAGTCCCACTGGTTGCATGGTCCGGATAGCAGCCATTGGAGTGTATCTTTTCACAGAGATTATAGCTCTCTTGGAGGAAAAACAAACCTGGAAACCAACCTCAGGCTTCTTCAATTGCAAGAAGCAACTTGACTTCAATGCAAGAGCCATAAAAATGAGAATCACTGAAATTTTACATGCAAAATTAAGCATAAGGGTTTCCGATTGAAGAAAAACTCATCACCACTACATTGCCGAGAACGAGAAAATGAATCCCCATGGAAAGAAAAAGAAAAAAAAAACAATGCACCCACACCCAATCCATCAACATCCACAGTTTATCCCAGTAGCCATTGGTTTGACAAACAAACAGAACATTCTAGAAACCCCATTGAACAATCACAAAGCTTTTCACCAAAACCATAACCCATTAGATAAGTGCTAAAGCAATGAAGCAAATAAAAACCAAAACTTCATTTCCAGAGTTTATGCTAACCAAAATAAAATGTGTGTTGCGAAAGGGAAGAGGGAATCCAAATGAACGCACGTACAAGCAGAATCTTCGTACCTTAAAATCGAAATAAGTGAAAGAGAAACTGAAAAGACGCAGAGTCAAAGATTGGGTTTCTTCTCTTTTGTTTTGTGATTGTGTTCCTACTTCCCACCCCTTTCCCTAATGAATTTGATTAATAATATATATAATATTCAGTTCTCTCTCTCTCTCTCTCTCTGTTTTTGAAACATATGGAATTAAATAAGGTATATATTAATGTGTTTTAAAAATAATTAAATATGGATAGGTTCTTCACCCTTTTCACTTTCAGGAAAATTAAATCTCATTCATTCCTTGCATTTCATTTTCTTTTACTTATTTTGTCTCTATTCAGCCGGCGAATGAATTTGCTAGAAATGGGATCAAAGTGATGTACATGATGCAGCTAATTCGGTAGGTGAAAACCAGGGGCCATGATATAACACATTTTTTATATTAATTAAAATTATGAAAATAATTATTAATTAGAATTTCGGACTTAATAAATTTTAATCAATCAAAAAAGTGTATTTAAAATAGCTTATAAAAAAAATTATTCTGTATTTCTCTCAAGTGATTAATGAATAATGATGGATAAGACTTTATCAATGACTTTTTGACCAAAGTGGAGTTGTTTGGAAAGTTTTTTACGTAAATGGGGTTCTTTTGAAAGTATTTACGCCTTTGGGACTGTTTATAACGTAGCGACACCAGTGACACGTGGCATTTTTGTGATTTCAGAGAAGCTGACACCTGGCAGCTTGGTGAAGTCGGAACTCCCCCAATATCAGGAGTAACTTCCCTCTCTGGGTTCGAACTCGAGACACCGGGTTCGTAAACAAGGCTCTGATACCATTGTTACGAAAAGGTTAACCCCTTCTTCAGAAGCTGACACCTGGCAGCTTGGTGAAGTCGGAACTCCCCCAATATCAGGAGTAACTTCCCTCTCCGGGTTCGAACTCGAGACACCGGGTTCGTAAACAAGGCTCTGATACCATTGTTACGAAAAGGTTAACCCATTCGTACAAGGCCCAAGAAATTCCTATATCAA